ACATATTATTACTTGTTTTATTGTTAATATGTTATATAATTAATTTTTGACAATTAATCTTTAACTAAATAATTAATTACTATATTATTTATTATTTTATTAAAAGTAATAAATTAATATTTAATTAATAATTAAGTGATTACTATCTATTTATTAGTTATTAAACGTATCTATTTATTATTTATTAATTAATACATAATATAATTTGTAATTAATAATTAATTATTTAATATAACTTTATTGATAAGTACTAGAAAATGAAAACGGAAAAGGAAAAACAACTTTCGATCGTTTTCTACTTTCTTCACAAAAATGATTCTCATTGTTTTTTATTTTCGTTTCCGTTTTCAAAACTTTTATTAAACAAACACGATTTGTAGACCGTTTTCGTTTTTGTACCTCAAAAAATGTGCGAAAACATTTTTGAAAACAATTCTAAGCGCACCCTCTATTTTTTACTTTCTATACCTCTTTTCTAAATACACGACTTCACATAATTTTAAAAACTATATAATAAATTTCTTTTTTGAATTAAATTTAATTACACAATTAAATATCCTATAATTATCTTTTTTTGGTCATTGTCTATGAGGGTCTTTTTGTAATAAAAAATTAAAGTAAAAGGGGGTGTGGAGAGTAAAAATAGGTGTGTGAATAGAACCACCCAATTATGACAGGCTAATAATTAAGACATTTTTTTCTTAAAACTAGTTGAATCGCTAAGATCTAGTTCAATCTACGTCTAAATATGTGCCTCTATCTAATATGTTTATTTATTTAGCAGTGGTCAAATAATCTACGGTTTGTTAATACTATATTAGTCTAAGGAAGAGAACAGTGAAAGAGTTAGCATTATATAATTATATAACATTATTTCGGTTAAGATAGCGAGTTTCCACAGTTTTTCCAACGACTTACTTTTTCACAACAGAGACTAAATTTCACTAGCAAGATTTTATTAGCATCATTTTGGTTTTTTAATTTGGTGCTGACTTTTTCATCCGTTTCTTCATTTTGTGCCACTTAGTGCTACTCAATGGCAATATACCGCATCATTTAACAGACTCAGATATTGAATCATAGAAAACTCTTTCAAATGGTTTAAATGGTATGACATGGTGCGATTAGTTCGACACCATTTTGCATAATGAAATTGAACAAGTGATAAAGTCTCATTTTCCCAATGAACTATTAACATAATTCTTTCAATTAGTTTTATTGATAAGAATTTCTTTATTTAAGGTATAAAATCCCACATTTTCAATACATATATTTATTTATGCATAATGAAATTGGACAAGTGATAAAGTCTCGTTTTCCCAATGAACTATTAACATAATACTCTCCAATTAATTTTGTTGATAAGAATTTCTTTATTTAAGGTATAAAATCCCACATTTTCAATACGTATCTTTATTTATGGTATAAAATCCCACATTTTCAATACATAACATCATATTATAAGTATAGTAATAATGACATCCAAGGCTGAAGTCCTTAATGTTTAGGCTCGCTTACTTCAAAGCTTGAAATCATCCAAGGCTGAAGTCCGACCAAGGCCTTTTGAATCAAAATGGAGAACATAGTCCCTCACTGTGGTTTCCCTGTACTTCGGAGGATTGCCTTCTGATAACAACTCTTTGATGGGTCCGTACAGTTTTGATGTTGGGATGGAACCAGTGGAGAAGAAGCTCGCAACAGATACTCTTGGACCTACGCGGTTCGCCAGTACTTTATGTCGAACACTTGTGAATCTTTCATTTGATATAAGCTGAAGAAACAGAAGGAAAAAAAAAATGTCCGACTTTAAACTCCATGACTAAGACCTTGTAATAATGCAACTATAACCTCTGGTTTGCTCTGTTAACAAATCATGTGGCCAATAATCACAAGTGACTAGATTGTCACTATTACTTTTTCATTTAAAAAAAAAAAAAGAATAGGAAGCACATGAACTAAACAACAATATGAGATAAAACAATAGACACTTGCCTGGAGGAGATCTCCAATATTGACCACGAGGGTGCCGGGCTGAGGAGATACGTCGATCCACTTGTTGTCGTGCAGAACTTGGAGACCACCGATGTTGTCTTGTAGAAGAACAGTGAGGAAGCCATTGTCAGTGTGCTTGGTTGTGCCCATAGTTAGTTTTGGCTGTGGACATGCGGGGTAGTAGTGGCACAAGACCGTTAGCCCTTCCGCGCAATCTATCTCATTTAACTGATTCGGATTCAATCCGAGAGCCTCAGAAATCAGCTCGAACAACAGGATTCCCACTTCCATCACTTGCTTTGAGTACTCTATAAGTATGTCTCTACACAAGTGGAAATACAGAACAACTTACTACATTTCACAACACCTTATAATATTTCGCTTAACATGCTTCATTATTTTCAAGTTCTACTAATTTTTTTTCCTTCAAAGAAAAAAAAAAAAGGTTCTACTAATTTTTATGGAAATAATGGACAACCCATATAGCCTACTACTTAATAGAGTTGAAGGAAAAAAAAAAAAAAAAAACGATTACTAACAATTTCGATAATAAGTTAAGGAAAGATGGACAATATTGTGTGATTGAACATAAAACTACTATTTTTTTATTCTATAATTGTGGTGGAGATTCGAATTCAGCACCAGCCTAATCTTGTGGCTTTTCAAACTTGTCAAATTTTTTACCACTAGGACAACTCTTTTTGTAACATTTTTTTGCCTTTTACAAGTACACCAACATGGTCAGAACGATTGATCTTCGACATCGTTTTACGCGCCTTCTACTCAAAACATAAACAAATATTCATGGTATATTCTGTTCATGGTATAAACAAATATTTTTTTACGTACCTGCATGCTATGGGCAAGTCTTCAGGTTTCGGAGGATTAGGAGCCATTCGACATATAAACGTGTCCCTCCAATTCGTAGAAATCCAACTATACAAATCAAAGTTGCTGTGATAAAACACCGGTTTCGTAGGGTCTCTGGTGTAATACTCTTTCTTCACCTCGGTTTCTTGCTCGTGAAAACGACGAATCCCTACTTTCATCTCCTCAAGAACACTCTCCGGGATTCCGTGGTTTACAATTTGGAAGAATCCCCAGTTCTCTGCTGCTTCTCTTACTCTCTCAACGATCTCCTTTCGCTTTACCGGATCTTTGGTAATTAGCCCTCCGAGGTCTATGAGCGGAACGCTGATCTGCGAATCTCCTGATGAAACGTAGATTTCCTCGAAGTCATTATCTGAGGGATGATGGAACATACGAGGAATCTCAGTTACACCAGAATCAACAAGTCCTTTAACACCAGCCTCAGTTTCGTCGAACGCTTTTAGTTCGCTTGTTCTGTCGTATTCAGCCTTGAATTCAGCTATAGTAGAGACATCTTTCTTTGTATCCACCATTTTTCGTTCTTCTTCTTTCCGGATATTTTAGCCTTGATCAAGAACTAATTTAAATCGTATGTGGTTATGTTTGAGATGCTCTATATATAAAATTTCGATCATGGCAAAGGGCCGCCGCCAAAGAATTCTGGAGGTGGAAGAATTGATGTGATGGCGTGGGTTAATTTGCATGTGCATTCAGCTTTATTTTTGACATCTTTTCCCAGTGAGTCAGTGATGGAGCTGGACATTTTTGCCAGCAGGGGTAATAACTAAAATAAAAGTTTGATAAAAAATTATATAATTATCTCCGACAGATTTTCATCCCTTAAAAATATTATATAGTAATTTCATAATCAAGATCGTTAAAGATTGAGTTTATAGCTTTTATTTATTTTGATGTTTTTGCAGAAAATGATATCTTTGATCTGGTAATAAGATTAATTTTAGGGAGAAAGAGGAAAATAGGCCAAGACTTGAGATGAATTAAAATTAATAGGCCAATAGTTTACATAAGTTAATAAATAGACTAAATTACTGTTTTCATCAATAACTTGTCTGGTTATGAACCATAATTTGACAAGTTTATTCATAACTTATCTGGTTATAAACCATAACTTGACAAGTTATGACCTATTAATTTCTATAACTAAAAATTAACCTATATATTTTCTTAAGCTTTTCATATTGACATATTTTCTACTATTTCTCTTAATTTTAGTAGGGACTAAATGTAATAAATACACACACACACACATATATATATATATATGTATAATTTTTAAAATAAAAAATTTGAGTGGGAGTTTATGCCCCTGCTGGAGCCTTAGTGGCTCTGTCTATAAATGAAAGACTTTCTCTAAGAGGCCTCCTTATTAGTAGTATCAGTTTTTGATAGTTAGATTTGGTCAAAATGACTAGAGTAAAAAAGTATACAGAACATATAGTTTTTTTTTTTTTTTTTACTGGAACGCCCTCCGTACCATTGATCAAACACTACCGGTAGTGCACCAACTATAAAAAGAGTGACGAAAGAACTTTCCCCTGCAAAACTAGAGCAATAATAATGGAGAAATCTCTTCCTTTACATCTCTGCCATGTCTCGAAACTCACCCTCTTCATCAACAGAACTCATACTCTCCTACATTCAATAGCCATTTCCTTCCTTCTTTACTATAGAGCCTCATTTTTCTTCCAAAACGCCATATCTGCTACACCCAAGTTATTGATCCTATTGCCATGGCTCTTCATATCCTCTTCCGAGCTCGTCCTCTCCTTCATCTGGCTCCTCGGCCAAGCTTATCGGTGGCGTGTCGTGACTCGCTCCGTCTTCCCCGAAAGATTGCCCGGCGACGAAAAACTTCCATCCCTCGACGTCTTCATTTTCACCGTGGATCCAGAAACGGAGCCAACTTTGGCTGTGATGAACACGGTGTTGTCGGTCATGGCGATGGACTATCCGACGGAGAAGCCTCACGTCTATTTGTCGGACGATGGCTGTTCTTCTTTGACTTTAAATGGTTTGAGAGAGACTTGGGCTTTTGCAAAGTTTTGGATTCCGTTTTGCAGAAGTTATAAGATTGCTAGTGGATGTCCAGAGGCTTATTTCTCTGGTGTTGAAGATCATGTGGATTCTGATCTAATTGGTAGTGATGAATTTAAGACGCAGAGAGAAAAGATCAAGGCTAGTTCTCGCTCTGAATATTTCTTGTCAGAAAAAAGGCAGATATATATATATATTTATATATACACACACATATATATGTGTGTGTGTGTGTGTGTGTGTGTGTGTGTGTGTAATACGAAACAAATTGTGAATTACTGAATTTCTATTTGAATTTGGTGCAGGAAAAATATGGGATGTTTAAGTATAAAATTAAGGAATATGCAAGAGTTGGAGAGAAGAAGACTAGCAACCATACTAGAGATCACCCTGCTATCGTCGAGGTATGGTGTTGTTAGAGATCCTAAGTTAAAGCTATATTGGCATGCATATATGGCATTATGCTTTCCTTATTAGTATAATATGCAATATTAGTCTCACTCTTAGGTTTTGTTTAACAGATGGATCTAGAATCATAATTCTGGAGTTTTAGTTCAAAATTAGTGTTTATTTACAATGATTCTGAATCATGATTCAGTTATTTACAGTGATTATGAATCATGATCCAGAATCAATGTTTGGTTTGGATGATTCTGAATTATGATTCGAAATCTAATGTGATGTTTTAAACCAGAATCACTTATCATTCTAAAATCACTCCCCTCTTGATTCAAGGTAATTCAAACTTCTAATTGTGAATCATGGTTCCAAAATCACGATTTGAACCCAAAATCATGAATCATGATTCTAGTTTCAGAATCATGATTAGAATCACCCTCCTAAAATTATACTTTTTTCCTTTTTTGCGTGATACCCTAAACTTTTTGGGTTTGCCATTCAGTCCCTGAACTGAAAATCTTGACTATCAACCCTTTCAGTTCAAATGTCACATGGGTTTTAGCACACAGCCTGCACGCGAGTTTCTAATCAGGGCATTGTAGGTCTTTTTCTCCTTTAAATTAGGAATTAAATAAAAAAAGTATAATGCAAAAGAAAAATTAAAATTTCTTCCTTGCGGGAGGAGGATCCTATGGCCTTTCTAACTCAATCTTCTTGAGCCCCAATCTTCTTGGTCCAACACAAACTCCTTCAACTTAAAAAAAAATTAAAAAATAAATTAAAAAAAGGAGCTGTTAAAGCTTTTTACAACAAAATTGAAGCAAGCAATAGAATTACACTACATCAAACCTCTCCTCCTCTATCCATCATGAACATGATTTTGTTGAGATCACCGCCCATGAACTTGGCCTTAACAACTCCGGTTTTCAGAACCTTTCTCCATTTCATAGCAATCTCATAAGCCATATGTTGAGCAAAATTTCCAAGTCACATAACAATCAACGAACAAGAAAATTGGGGGGAAATAGTTTTAAATTTTGAGCTCAAATCAAAACCGATAGAAGAACCAAATAGGTACCGTAGTTTGCTTGACGCGCAATCGAAGCTCGAAGAAGTTGAAGACCAATCCGATTCATCACTTAGCTTTAGGTCGTCGTTGCCTCCTTTATTCTATCTTTGCTCCAAAAGTAGTCGATGTGTAGAACCTCGAATTTTTTGTTGCCATTTTTTTGTTGTTCATTTTTCTAATTGATTTGAAGGACCATAATGCCCTCATTAGAAGGTAAAAGCCTTTCAAAATCTAACACCATTTTAAGTTAAGACTTATTATTTAGAAGATTCTAAAATTTGAAGAGTCAATTGTTAAAATTTTTAGTTCAAGTACTGAATTGTTGAATGGGACAAGTTGTGGGGCTACCTATGCAAAATAACTATGAATTATATTTACTGGAGATACACATGCAAAAGAACTTTACGTGTGGTGGAGGAGAAAAGCTCATATCTAAAAATAAATTATAGTACTACCTCAACTTGCTGTTTGTTCCTAGTGAAAAAAGCAAATTTATTAAAGCAGTATAAGGACCTATTTAATTTGTTGATTCGAGTTTTTAATTTAAATTGAAATGTGATTTTATATGAAAAAATTTTAATGTGACAAAAAAGTTAAATATGATTATTTTTAAAAATATTTTACTGTAATAAAATTTAAATCGGTGAAATGAATAGCATGATAAAGCAGAAAAGTCTTGTATCAAAAAGTAAATTATAGTACGGCCTAACGTGTTGTTTGCTCCTATGACAAAAAAGGAAAGAAATTAATTACATTTGATAGATGTACCAAAACAAAAAAAAACAAAAATTGAAACAGTACATCAAGAAAACTGTACGTGTGGTGGAGGAGAAAAGCTCACGTGAAAAAAAAAAAATTATAGCACTACTTCAACGTGTTGTTAATATGTGGAAATTGATGTTGGAATCAAAAAATGAGAATTGACGTCTCCTGCTGAGTAATAATTACTGAGAATGAGTCATTAAAAACAAAAACAAAAAAACAAAAAACGAAACGGTGGACAGGTTAACGAAGGAGAGGTTGACGTTGACGTTGATGTTGATTCTTGTTTTCTACGAAAGATGTTGATATTGATTTGATTTGTTCACATACTCACGGCGAAACAACATTGAGCGCAACTGCCCGGGCCCAATGATCAATAATTATTTTCTTTGAAAGGAGTGACTCTCAGGTCATATAAAGTCAATATTACCCGAATTTAACCTTAACCTTATCTCACGCCGTCACAGACCTCCTGGCCGACGAGATTCACTCCGTCACCGACCTCGTTGTCATCCTCCGTCGCCAATCTCTAACGAACTATGCCTATAGAGAATAACACACTTCGCCGGAAAGAATGGTGCACGGCCAGAGCTCTACATTCACGAAGAGATCGACTCCAAGGCCGACAATCGGCGATGGAGATCGGCTACATTGACGGCCAAGTGGAGAAGACCTCGACGATGAGCCTCGCTTGTTATCTAATGTAAGGAGGAGAACGACGCTGCTCGTAGTTAGATTTACGGAGGAGATTGATGGTGGTGGTGGTTTCTAGCACTTCTGATCGGCGCCGAGCATCGTAATGTTGAATTTGTGATGTGATCAACTCATGAAAAAAAATAAACTATTACTTTGATATCAATTATTAGAAATATTACAAAAAGTTATGCGACAAAATTTTAAAAATTTTATTGAAATAATTTAAAATTAGATCTTGTTTATGATGCCATATAATATAAATATGAAATATCTAAATCATAACTCTAGCAGACGGATAATTGTACTTCAGAAAACTACAACCTGAAGAGTTTTTACAAACTGATTTTTTTTATATTCCTTTTTTCACGATTGAAGTGTGAGTGGATGTACGTTGTTTAATCTTCCCTAAATACCTTGAACGTCTTCTAACCACATGAGAGCCAAAGGAAAAAATCAATCTTAGTGTTTGGTCAATATTTCCTCTTTAGAAACTCTTACTAATAACCTCCAAAATGTCTTTCAAGTGATCTAAGTGTTAATGAGCTTTAATGAGCTATTTATATAGGTGGGAAGAACTTATCCCCACAATTAGATTCATTTTCAAAGTCAAATTTGCGATTTTAATTGAAATGAGTCGGTGCCTACATGGCACTGTCCGGCTATCCGGACAGGTTTGTCCTGTTAACTGGACAACACAACTTTTCCGCGTTTTGAAAAAGTGTTCGGTTAACCAGACATGTTTTTTCAGCACTATTTTGTTCCTTTTATTCAATCTATGAATTATATATAATTCCACTTACTTAACTCAATGTATAAATTATCTGATTAAAATGATTAGATACATAAATTTACATATCAAATAAAAATAAAAATTAATTCAACCAATTTATCTTGAATTAATTTAAACATTTAATTTAACTGATAAATTACACATGAATTAATTTCGTCTGATTTATAACCAATTTTAGAAATAACATAAGTTACTAATATGTAAGAAATATACCATATCGTATTAAGAAAATAGATCAGTTAGCAAAGGTTTCTAATGGACATATGTCGATCAAGCACATGTAATCACGACAAAACTTGTTCACCAAACAAGTTCATCTCATGATTATAACTTCTAGTGTTACTCTACTAAATGCCTAAAACTGCACTCTTAATGTATATAGTATATTTACAAAGCTCAAATTAGCTCTCATCCATGACTTTATTATATTGTGTATCATATCCATAATATTAATGTTTATCTTATGTTTCATTATATAGTATATTTACAAAGCTCTGATTAGCTCGCATCCATGACTTTATTATATCGATGTCAAGTTCCGTTTTACCTTTCCGATTATATTTTATCTTATGCTCCATTACTACTTCCTTGAAATAACCATTATTCGTACTAATACCATAGTAAATGTTAGATAAGAAAGAGTATTCTAATGGTTGAGCGCTCATATTTCTCAATCCTCGGATAATGCCATAAGAGGATATTGTTAACTCTTTTAATAAGAGCTATGGATGCACTACCTATAAATAATAAATCTAGAGAAACATGAATCATGTCTCCAATGCACCAATATGCATACATTCAATAATATCAGGATGTCACCATTTGGTACATCAAAATATACAATTCACTAATGGTTTTGAAAACGATTTTCTATGCGGAAGCATGTATCTAGTGGATCGTATATAACAAAAATTTTAATAAACCTTTGAGATACTCTATAAAATACATTAATTTATGTGGGAATAAATTAATCAAATTAATTTAAGAATAAATTTACCTAGCGAACTATTAGGTCGATAACTTGAGTTCTTTGACCACGAACGTTCCTTGCTCCAAGCTTGTTTTAAATACCTGAATCTTTCTCGTCAATTCCTTGAATCTACAAAGACATGTTTGTGGGCACACATCAATCAAAATAGAATTAGCTCTCAAAACATTCAAGTCTTCTACGAACACCAACACATGCACAACGTAGAACTTGGAATTTGGAAGAACATTTCTTGTCTTTTTCTCTAAGGTTACACACCCACCTTTAGTAGGTTACATACTAACTAACTGTGTGTTACATGCCTATACTAGACATGTTACACGTCACCTGTGGGGGAGGCAGTGAAAAAGTTACTTGTATGTCACTAGAATGTTACACGTTGTCTAAGAGAATATTACACTCATGTAACTAGCATGTTACATGCCTATCACATAGGGGAAGGGAGAAAAATTGTGTTCTCCAATTTTCTATAACTTTCTATTTATAAAATACCTCATCGAGTCCTAGAAAAATTTTATCTTATCTTTTAAGATAAATGTTTCAGAAAAATAAGAGATAATATTTAATTTTAAATCATATTTAATTAAAAAAATCTAATCTAATTTTGGAAAAAAAAAATTTCGCTCTGGTTGTCTCAATTAATTATTTTATAGTGTTTTATTTATAATTTCATAATTCTAAAATTTTCATTTTGTCCTTA